TGGCGGGCCCGGGAAATAACTGTTAGCCTAAAAAAAATTTCATTAAAATTTTAATTTTTTTTTTTTTTTTTTGGGGGGGGAGGGTTTATGTGGTTTGACTGCTGTATTTTTTTAAACATACTTACCACAACATTTATGTCATCCAGCGGTGAGGATGAGTGAATCATGACATCAGAGGAAGACAGCAAGTTGGTCTTATGCAGAATGGAAAAGCCACTTAATCCAAAGTGATTCATTTTAAAATATAGTTTCACTTAAAAGTGTTCTATAATCTAATTATGCTTTGGCTTAGCACCACTGATTTTAAAACTCAATTCAATGGTCAAGAGAGGAAATGCTTTGAAAATTATCATACATATGTTACCTTGGATTCAATTCATTTCCAGCTTTTGGGAGGCTGCTCTAGGTGTGAAAAGTTTTTATTATACTGTTGTAACTATGTGATCAGTGTTTATTTTGCTTTCTGCTAGTTTAACAAGAATACAAACTCATAAGACTGGTTAAATTGCATGTTTCTCTTTATTTTATTGCAAAAATAGATACTCCATTAGTTAGAATTGCTTCAGTTTAGATTAGTCTTTTAGCAATATAACACTTCGTTGTGTTAAAAATTGGAAAATCCTCATCCCTCAAATTATTCCCAGCAACTTGACTTAGTGTTTTTGACTGTAATCCACATCTACAGCACCGAATACCTCCTATATGATTGTTTCTTTAAACTCCATAAAAGTTATGCTGGAGTTTAGCGTTTGCATGAAATGCTTGCCTTTTAACAATTACTGATGTTAAGTGCAGCAGTCTGACATCAGTTAAGGCATCATAATAAAACTACACATTTGTAATAATTGATTTATATAAAATGTAGATTTAGTTTTATATGTTAAGCAGAAAATGTGAAGTGTAAAAACTGGGTTTCATCAATCTGGACTGGTAAGAAATTAGCCAACCAGTCCATTTCATCTAATGGACTGGTTGGGCCTACCAACATTCAGAAAACCAGAGTAGGATCATTCA